GGAGAAGTTTTCGACGAACCTGTTGACCCTGGACAGGATTAACTTCTCCACGAGCTTGGCAAAGGAGTTTAGAAGGGAGATTGGGCGGTAAGAGGATGGGAGTGTGAGGTTTTTCCCAGGTTTGGGGATCATAACCACTATAGCCTTTTTCCATTGAAAAGGAAAATGCTGTAGTTTTAGGATAGCGTTAGTTATTTGTACCATCTGGACAATAACTTTCCGCGGGAGGTTTTTAAGGGCTCGATATGGGATGCCATCTGGTCCGGGGGCCTTCTCGCTTGGGAGCCGGCGGATAATTCTTGTCATCTCGCCGGGCGTGACAATGAGTTCAGCGAGCAAGTGCTGGGGGATGGGGTATTTCCGAATGGCAAAGGCTGCCGCTGTATGCTCGATCTCCTCCTGTTCAGGGGAGTTGGGTGGGAGACCGGAATGAATACTCTCCATGAATGAGGCCAGGGCCTCCGCCTTGTCTGGGGCAGTGACGCAATCCCTTCCATTACTAGTAATGGCAGGGGTACGCACAGGCGGCCTCCTCATTTTTGACTGAAGGCGCCACAGAGAGTTATCTTGAGGACGAAGGTTATGGAGAGTTTCTGTCCACTTGCGGTTCCTGAACTCGCTGATGCCATCTTTGATGGCGCCTTCGAGTTCCCGAACGCGCAGGCGATCCTCGTCCCTTCGGAGGCGTTGCCACCTCCTCCGGGTGCGATTTTGGGTTAGGGTGTTGAGTGTCTGCCGAAACAGGGGCCAATTGAAGTTCTTGTAACTCAGGCGAACTTGTGGGCGAGGAGGATCAAGTTCGCCCCAGGTGAAAAAGATGGGTAGATGGTCCGAGCTCAGGGCGTTGATCGTAACTAGATCTGAAAGGTCCCCGAGTCCTTTGCTGATGGCAAGGTCGATGTATGTCGGTGTCATGTTATTGCTAGGATAATGGGTGGGCGATTCAGTACTGAGGAGTACCAACTCCGGTCGGTCGTTGACGAAATCATTTAGGATCATACCGTTGGTATTTCCTCTATGATTCCGCCAAAGTCTGTGTATAGCGTTTAGGTCTCCAAGCAACAAGGAGCGAGAGTTTTGGGGGAAGAACGGAGTTAGGTTGGCTACTGACAGACGGGTCTGCGGGGCGTTGTAGCAACCATTGATCAGAACGCCATTCGCAAGCTGGATGCTCACGTGCTCAATGGCAGTTCGCCACTGTGGCATCCGCTTGTATGCGATTGATTCTCTGATCAATAGCGCCACACCACCCGCGCGGCGGCCGGCCCTGTCAGAGCGTTCCCTCACTTATTGGGAGCGTCCCTGCTATTTATAGTAAGGCCACGTTCCCTTACTTGTTTATAGTGTTCCCTCACTTTCAATAAGTGGGTCGAAAATTTTTCTAAGTCTAGCTGCCCCAACCTTTGCTGGACTTAGCGAAATTTTTAGTGTCCTTTTTAGACACGTTCCCTTACTTGGTTGTAAAAGTGAAAATTATTCTGTCCAGCTCCCCTCACTTGCTGCTGGACGGCGTAATTTTGTCGTGCCCTGTCTTGGCGCGTGCCCTAACTTGTCCTGTTAGGATTTTTGCTAAGTCCAAGCCCCCTTACTTTTATTTGGACTTAGCAATTTTTTGAGTGTGCCCTTGGTTGGGTACGTGCCCTCACTTGGTTTTGTCACTTGGTTGATTTTGGTGTTTACCGTTCAAGTCGACGTCCCCTTATTTGTTTTCGGCACTTGAGATTTTTCGGGCGTGCTGTTTGGTGACGTGCCCTGACTTTGAGTCGCTTTGGTGCCCTAAGCGTTGGTGTGCCCTCACTTTTTCCTCTCTGTGTTTGTTGGATTTTGAAGATCTGGGTGGTTTGGAGGGACCCTTACTTTTTGCAGATTTGCACTTTGTGTAGATTTTAGTTCAGAAAACTGTCTGGCTAATTTTGGCCAAACTGGACAAAATTTATGTGGGGCGAAGCCCCGAAAAATTCTGGATGAATACACTATCCAGAACTTACCCGGCGTTGACTTGTGGCACAGAAAACTTGGAAAGATATAGGCACATTACTTGGTAATGTGCCGATAAAAAAACAATAATAGTATTCGTAGGAATGCGTATAAAAACACTATTTGTTCTCCGCAATACGTCTATATGCATCAACGGTGCGACGAGAACTGGGGAACCGAACCTGGCTCTCGCCGATGTTAAGCGAGCGCACTGACCAATAAACTATCGAACCTCTTGAGTTTGATATGAAATTTGGGCTTATAGACTGAACACCTAAATAGGATGCGCGCGCATTCAAAGTCTCCGAAAAACGGGACGACCGACGTCATGCCGCCATGTTACTTCATGCTCTGCTGCTTTTTGGGTTTGGTGTGTCCTTAGCGTGCATTTTGGCTTTTTGTGAATTATTGTGGTTTCAGTTTTCAAGTGGTGTTAAATGTGGATAATTATTGTTTAAAACAAAAATAAGTGGAAGTGGCTACGGTGTGATAAACTTATAATCAAGTTATTTATTTGTGCTCTTTCGAACTAATTTTCGCCATGTGTATATGAAAATGGTAGCTTCCAGGAGGTTATGAGAAATTTTATGGAGAAAATGAAGAAACTATAACTAGAAGTTAGACAAATGGAAAAGGACTGCAAACAAACACCAACGCCGAGAAAACGAGTATACAATATTACCGGTGCCATAAGCTTGGACATATGCAATGGGATTATAGACTAAGGATGTCCTCTCCATCTAGAGATCGTTCCCAATGCTTTTGGAGGTCTAGAGACGCCAGCCCTGAACATCGATCTACTGCATGAAAATGCTGACGCTCTGCCTAGACGGCCATGCAAAGAAGACTGTAAGCATTGTCAAAGAATCGATATGCATGAGAAAAAACACTGGTCCGGCTGTGAGAAGAACGGGTCTGAATCTGATCGTTGATGATAAATAGACAACCAACTGGTTGTTCCAAAAGATCAAGTAGAAGATGTATTGAAAAAAATACATGATGGAACTTCGGGGGCAGATTTTGGAGATAACAAGACTCGGGACAAAATTCGGGAACGTTTTTACTGGGTTCACTATCATGAAGATGTTGAAAATTGGTGCCGAAAATGCGACATCTGTGCTACCAGTAAAGGCCTTGAACTAAGATCTCGGTTCCCATGAAACAGTACAACGTCACGTCGGTTTCGCATTTGAAAGAATAACGATGAGTCAGAGCGTGATAACAAATACATCTTGGTTAGGTATCATGGATCATGGATTACTTCAGTAAATGGCCAGAAGTTTTCGCTATTCCCAATCAAGAAGCCATCACTATTGCTCAGGTGCTAGCAAACGAAGTTTTTAGTCGTCATGGTGTACCACTAGAGTTACAGATCAGGGACGAAACTTCGAATCTGCCATCTTTAAGAAAATTTGTGAGATCATGGGCATTCATAAGACAAGAACAATACCTTTTAATCCACAGTCTGATGGCATGGTAGAACGATTTAATAAGACCATAGAGGAACACCTGACAAAAGTCGCAAAGAACCAGCGAGATTGGGACAAAGATTTACCTCTATTTACCTCTGTTTTTAATGGCTTACAGAGCAGCTGTTTACGAGTCAACAGCTGAAAGTCCAGCGAGAATCGTTTTTGGAAGGGAGCTTAGGTTACCTTGCGATCTGATGTTTGATACCTGAAAAAGAATGAAAAGAAATTCGAGATTATGCAGACGACTTCTGGGAATACGCGATTTAGCTCGGGAGCATATTCAGCTGGCCAGTGACCGAATGAAGACCAGATACGACTTGAAAGCCAAATCAGCCGGATTTCAAGAAGGTGATTTAGTGTGGCCGTATAATCCGGCAAGAAAGAAAAGAGTGTTGCCGAAATTGTGTTCAGCATATGAAGGAACCTACAGAATAATCAAGAGGATCAATGATTTAGTTTATCGAGTTCAGCGCAACATCAGGAATAAGATGAAAGTTGTACATTTAGACAAATTGTTGAAATATCATGGGCGCGAAGCTGATCTGGACGATCAACTTCAAGAGGAGGGCATAGTGTGGCGCGTTCGCTAGCAAGAATAAAATTTAACTTGGAATCTAGAAAATACTGCTTTATTCGGGCAAAAAGATTATCGCGTTTATTCTGGATTCTACCCGAATAGATTGCGTATACAGGGTGGGCCAGCGAAAACGAAACAAGGTCGTATTCATCGTTTATTGAAAAAAATCGCTCGGACCCGTCGATTTTTATTCGGAGGGGGAAATCTTTTGCGCATATTTTCAATGTTGTTACTTCAACCCTCTCGCGGGGGTAAGCTCCAACCCTTAAATCTTAAATGGCAGTAGGGGTCAAGCGATACCTCATTTTAAAGGTCATCGAATTCTCTTCTCAACGGTGCCAATTTTTTTGAATTTGATGCAGTGGTTATCGAGAAAACGCATTTAAAAATAGACGAAACTAGTACTGTTTTAGTAATTTTGAGCACTATCAATTTGGTAGTTATAACAATTTTTTCTTAAGAAGTGATTTTATGTGTTTTTTTTTTGAAGTAGTGTGCTATCCAACTTGAAATCACAAGGTTAAAGTCTAGTTTTTTTTTTCACTCAATAAAATTCAACTGGATAAATTCTAATTTTAAAAATTTTTTGAAAAAAAAAACTCAGTAAAATCAAAAAAATAGGCACCGTTGAAAAGAGAATTCGAGATTTTTTTCAATAAACGATGAATACGAGATATCGATCTTGTTTCGTTTTCGCTGGCCCACCCTGTATATAAATAAGGCCGGTATTAGTTAGTAGGAAATTTTTAGTTTAAGATGAACTCTGATACGATTTTGATAGTAAATTTTGTAAAAGTTGTTAAGAGTTAAGTTGTTTGAGTTAATTAGTAAAGTAATAAGTGGCAGAGTGTGTAGTAACGTGGAATAAATTATTGTGGTGTTAATTGGACTTTGATTTTGGAATAAAAGAACACAAGATTTCTGTCACGCACATTCACACACTATAGCAACATATAGAATTTACTTCAACTTACCAATAAATAGATGAAATATTACTGCAGAACATAAACCTAATCCATTAGATGCCACTAGGACAAGATACACGTTAGTAGACATACACAAATAAACTAAAACGACGATTAAAGCAACACACAACTCTTCACAAAGAAAGTAGCTATCGCGATAACGCAAACTCGATAACGAAATGAGGAACGAGGAATCCGATACGTTTATAAAGGACATTTTCCGAAATGATTGCAAAATACAGTGTTGACAACTCAAAACTGTTTCATCGCGGAAACACAGATTAACGAAAAAATCTGAAATTAATAGTTATTTTGTCGCGCCAACCTATGATTTTTTTTCACTACAAAATCTTTTTGCTTTTGTCAGCCGAAGCTTTAAATTTAGGCTCATGGCGTTTTCATACATCCACCATATACCAACAATGATAAAGTGTGATCAACATGTTTTCGGACAAAATATTCCAGAGAATATAGAAGTTATTATAAGTAATTTAAATTAAAGATCAGCATGCCATGAAGATATCAATCGTCACGCCAAGGTATTTGGTGTGAGCGATTTCTCCAATATTCTCTAATAATTTTCGACCTATTTCCATTTGGTTAAAAGGGTTAGCTCCCCTCAATAATCACATTGAAATGGTAGCCATAGTTAACATCCACCGGACGAGGGCTACCGGGGCATGGAAAGAAACACTAGGCAACTACAGCCACATAAAGGTTATCGACTTGATATACGACAACATAGTGGAAATGCGAACGGATTAAATAATGGTGGTAACCAATGAGTTTGAAAAACTTTCCAAACTCATATGCGACACAATCCAAGCATATGGCAGCAAGGAATGCCTCGCATAATAAGGAGAGGCCTGGTCTGGTATACAGACGGCTCTAAAACTGCGGATGGAGCTGCCGCTGGCGTATAATGGCGAAAGACCAAGATCAGAACAAAACATCCTTCACAGGTTAACAGGCAACAATTCATACAATTGAAGCATGCGCACAGGAGATTTTAATGCTGGGTTATAACAACCAGAACATAAGCATTCTCTCAGACAATCCAGGCTGCTCTGAACTAACATCGATTTACTTCGAAGATAACGATAGAACGCCTACACGACCTGGAAGCTCTGCTGTCAAGGATTAACAGGATAAAGTTCCTGTGACTCCTGTGAGTTCCTGGGCATTCGGGGATAGAATAAGGTAACGAAAAGTCTGACGAATTGGCCAGAGCGGGCGCAACTGCACCCTACACAAGACCGAAATTTGATTGATCGAATTTGCCTGACAGCAATGTAAATTAAATGAGAAGCGTTCGAATTCATATCAAATTTCGTATGCGATATTTTTCAAGAATTGGGCCCCAGAATTCGCATTTGGGATATCTAACAGGCAACAGGACACTACCATCTTAAAGCGTAAATGCAGAAAATGACAATCTACAATGGCCCAACGACATGTAGACTGGGTGGTGAAGAGGAGGAAACTGCCTTACAGATAATATAGGACTGTGAAGCACTGGCTCGCAGAAGACACAATTTATTTGAGGAAATAAATGCATGAAAAACTTGCCAGCAAGCTGCTAGATCTTATCAGAGGGACGGAGCTCGCTTTAGCAAGACAGGAGGTAGCACAATAAGCCTTAAGGCTGCAGTACAAATCGGGACACGAGCACGCATGACCCGGCCTTAAACCAACTAACCAAACCAAGCATCAACTTGATAAAAAAAATTGAAGACATAAATATTTGTTTTCTTCTTCTCAACAAACTATCTCCTGTAAATAGAATGATGGAACAGTGCAATATCTTAAACAGGGAAAATCCATTTGATATAATATTTAATACGAAGAGCGAATTTTGATCGTAACGTCATCTAAGACTAGGATTCAGCACTAAAATGCACTTTTGCTGTGAAAGTACTGATTGTCTAATAGGCTGACCAAAAATCAGTTAATTAGGAAAACCCAGAATTGGGAAAGCAAGTTTCCTCCTAAAAATCAAATTCTGCTGAAACTACTCCAACTTCAACTGGGCAATCAGAAGAAAATTGGAAGCTTGTTAGCTACAAAACAAAACATAAAAATATAATGCTGCAACATAATCGTCCTGATCCAGTAAGAGGAACAAATGAAAAACAAAATGGTCTACAGGTAGCTGAAAAAAGGTATTGGATATTTTTGTCTGGGTTTTCAACTTCAATGGAAGTAAATAATATCAAGGATTTCCTTAATAGTCAACAACTGGGAAACGATCTATATTGCGAAAAAATGCACACAAAAAAGGACGGACAAATGAGTTCTTTTAAACTGGGTGTGCCCCAATGCAATAAAAACAAAATAATGGATCCGGAACTTTGGCCAGTTGGTATCTGCATCAACCATTTTCTGAGTCTACAACGCCATCAGATACCGAAAAACAATCTGAGAGGTTAGATAGCCAAAACAAGAAGGTAGAGCATGTAATTTTTCACCAAAATATGCAATGCCTAAAAAATAAAATCCTTGAACTTGAAGCAGTATTAGAGGAAATGAATCAACAACCCACCTTTGTTGCGGTAACCGAACATTGGTTTACGGAGATGGAAGTCCAGTGTATGAACATAAATGGGTATAAGCAAACATCCGCTTTTGCAAGGAAAGCAACGACACATGGAGATTCTGCGATTTTTGTACATTCCAATAATGAAGCAACAGAAGAAACCGAAATTACGGCAAGAAGTGTAGAAGGAGTCCTGGAATGCTCATCGATCGTAAGTGGGTCCGCTGAAGTAGTGGTTATTGCTATCTATAGGCCCCCGCAGGGTGATATTGATCTCTTCTTTCAAATTCTTACAGATATTCTTGCTATTTGTCAGTTGAAATTTTCAAGTCACAAAACTATACTCACAGGTGACTTCAATATTGATTTGCTGGATCAGTCCTTCAGGTCAAAGAAATTTAAAGACCTCTTAACAAGTTTTAATTTTAATCAAACTGTATTTGAGCCAACAAGAATAACAAATACATCCAAATCACTTTTAGATAATATTTTCATCAATTTTATAAACCCATTTCAAGCAGAGGTTGTAGCAACTGCTCTATCTGATCACGAGGCTCAAACTCTGAGGGTCGTGAATGCGGTCGCCCCAGAGTGCAACTTCATGCCCTTCAAAAAGCGCTCTTTTTCAGATGGTAGATTGTCTCACTTTAAGCTTGAATTGCAGAGGGTGGATTGGTTTGAAGTGTATTCTCAACAACAGGTAAATACTGCATACCATGTTTTTAGCAGTATTTTGGCTCAATACCTCAACCTGATATTTCCTGAGAAAACCATTAAAGCCAAACCAAAAAAACCTAAGTAGGTACTGGATGACTTGTGGGATTAAAATTTCTTTAAAAAACAAACGAAATTTGTACAAAGAAATGATAAGGGGTAGTATCACAAAACATTTTTTTAAAAAATATTCAAATATCTTAAGATCAGTTATAAGAGAATCTAAAAAAAGAGAAAATATAAACTTTATACAAACTTCAAAAAACCCAGGAAGAGCAATATGGACATTGATTAACTGGGTACAGGGAAACGGGGAAAAAAGAAAAGAATCGTTGCTTGAAAACTATTCCAAGAAATACCCAAACAAAGAAAAGAATGTTATACTAAATGAAATAAATGATTTCTATATAAACCTATGTCCTGACCTCAATACAAATATAGATGGCATCTCAAAAAATATACCTTTTTACCCAAAAAATTTATTTTTAAAACCTACAAATGCTAATGAGATCAAGCATGTCATATCCAAATTAAAAAATAAAAAAGCAGTAGGGCAAGATCAAATCCCAGTCATTTTAATCAAAAAAGTGGCAGATGAAATTGCTGAACCACTGTCTCATGTAATTAATTTAATGCTTGTCACAGGAGTATTTCCAGATAAACTGAAAATAGCCCAAATTATTCCAATTTATAAGAAAGGAGACGCTCAGGAAATAAAAAATTTTCGACCAATTGCACTCTTGAATAACTTTAGCAAGATATTTGAGAGGATAATATATGATCGCGTTATTTCGTTTTTTGAGAGTGAGCAGTTGCTCTCAACATATCAGAATGGATTTAGGAGGAAAAAAAGTACCACCAGAGCTATTTATCAGGCACTAACTAAAATCTTGGAGTCCCTTAATGGGAGAAACGAGACAGTGGCGATGTATTTGGATTTGTCTAAAGCTTTTGACAGTGTTAATCATGATGTGCTGCTAGCAAAACTAGAAAGGTATGGATTGAGGGGCGTTCCTTTACAACTAATATCATCTTATCTATTTGATAGAAAGCAGCAGATTATTGAAAGACACAATGGGGAAACATTAACATCAATTTCTAGCCAGGTCAAAAAAGGTGTACCTCAGGGATCAATCCTTGGACCACTGCTGTACATTATCTATACTAACGAGCTTGCAAATATAACTGATCAGTTTACGGTCCAGTTTGCGGATGACACTTCAGTAGTCTTTTCGGCAGAACGAATGGAGGAATTGAGTAACAAAATTCACACAACTTTGAGTTCCTTTCAGGGTTGGTTTGACTCAAATAACCTGGTTTTGAATGTCGAGAAGACACAGCTACTACGTTTCTCATATCAACGGGATTGGTCTCCCACTCAGTTTGTTTGCGGTGATGGTATACCTTTGAACACTACAAGATCGGCCAATTTCCTGGGGGTCAAGGTGGATTCACGGTTGGACTGGAGTGACCATATTGACTGCCTGGCTGGCCAAATATCAAGGCACTGCTATGCCCTGAGGGTGCTGGCACGTGAGGTAAATTATGAGGTTGCATTAACTGCTTACCATGCTTACATTCAATCAAGATTGAGGTATGGAGTTGTATTCTGGGGTAATAGTCCCGAAGTCTCTCGAGTTTTTATTGCACAAAAAAGATGTATAAGAGCAATATTTGCTATGTACCAGACAGATAGCTGTAAACCCATATTTAGGGCTCACAACATATTAACATTACCAAGTCAATATATCCTGGAAGCAGCATTGTTTGTTAAGCAAAATCCTGACCTTTTTCTTGAGCACATTAGGGGGCATTGCTATGATACAAGGGGAAGGACTGATCTTGTCAATGTGAGAAGCAATTTTACTTACATACAAAAAAACGTTCAATTTTCAATTATAAAAATTTTCAACAAGCTACCTTCAAATTGGCAAAGCTTGCAATTCGATAACCTTAAACATAAGTTGAAAAACCACTTACTTCAGAGGGCTTACTACTCGGTGGAGGAATTGTATGAGGACAATTTGAACAACGAAAATTGAAATGAGGTTCAAACCAATATATGTATTCTGATGCTCAGTATTGTATTTTATAGTGTATTTTCATGTTGTATTTTATTTTATATTGTATTTTTATATTCTTATATTTTATATTTTAATGTGTAGTATTGTATAAATGTTGTTTTTTTTAACTTATTTATGATTTTAAACTCAAAACAGTCAATTCAATTTATATTTGGCTTGTAATGTTAGATTAGGGTATTTTTAAATTGACACGTTCTATGTCCGAAAGGGCTTTTGTGATAATTTTCTTTATATTTACAATTATGGAACAAATAAATGCTATGCTATGCTATGCTATCCACTAATGTGAAAATTTTGGGTTAATTTTCTTCGTTTTTCCATCCACAGATGCGTTTCGATCTATCAGATCCCATCAGTGTGGTTAGGAAAGCAAAGAAATCCAACCCTAGTTTAGTGCCTGTAGGCAAAGTTGAAGTAGACTGATGAGATCTGATAGATCGAAACGCGTCTGTGTATGGAAAAGCGAAGAAAATTAACCCAAAATTTTCACATAATATATACAGGGTGTCCCACGGTGGATGGCGTATTAGACGTTTATGGAGAACTAAAATGCGGATCATTTTGAAAATTTGGCAACCGGGATAAACGACCATGATCTACACTTTAAAAATATTTTTGACCATGCGATGTTGCCGCTTCTACTCTAAACTAGTGGCAACATCACTATTTTAAATGGAACATCCCATATTAAATTGCATATTTGGATTCTACGTAAAATTCTGAGCAGATTTCATGTGATATACCCTATACCTAAGTTCAACTGTTTTGGAAATATTGACAGTTGTTGAAAATTGACTTTTTGCAACTTTGACAGGCTGTAAAACCTAATTGGTTAATTTTAGAGGAAAACCGATTTTACATTCCTATCTTAGATTTTTATGAACTATCATTTGACACCAACTTTGAATTTAACTGGAGATTAAATTTACCTGGAATTTTTAATCATGGATTAAATTCAAAGTTGGTGTCAAAAGGATAGTTTATAAAAATCTAAGATAGGAATGTATAATCGGTTTTCCTCTAAAATTAACCGTTCAGGTTCTACAGCCTGTCAAAGTTGCAAAAAATCATTTTTCAACTGTCAATATTTCCAAAACAGTTGAACTTAGGTATAGGGTATATCACATGAAATCTGCTCAGAATTTTACTTAGAATCCAAATATGCAATTTAATACGGGGTGTTCCATTTAAAATAGTGATGTTGCCACTAGTTTAGAGTAGAAGCGGCAACACCGCATGGTCAAAAATATTTTTAAAGTGTAGATCATGGTCGTTTATCTCGGGTTGCCAAATTTTCAAAATGATCCGCTTTTTAGTTCTCCATAAACGTCTAATACGCCATCCACCGTGGGGCACCCTGTATAATAACTAGCTTCTCAGTTATCACCAAGTTTAATATCTTAAGGAGTGTCGAAGAGTGTGATAATGTAATGTTTTCCTTTTATAGAACTTAGCAATTATGTTTGCTGTTTCTTATAGTTAATCTTACTAAGTGACAATACATCAATAAAAACACAGAAAATTGGAATATTTATCATTTATTTTGACATCCTATTACATTAATTAACATTTTAAATTAAGAAAAATGGAATTGTTAGCAGAAATACCTTTAAAATAAGATAATTTGTACTTAAGAACGACATCGACACCAGCTAACTAACCACAGGTCCGGTTTCTTCATCAGTTTCAGTTTTGTTTGAAATTTCTGCTAAAATATGTAATACATGCACCGTGATTGTAGTAGCCCGTGCATTAGAGTTCAATTGGATTGCAGGTGGATTAATGGGGATAGCTTCTAATCTACCTATAAGCTAATGCACTGGCTACGTTAATCACCCTGTATACTCGGAATTGATTTTTAGTGTACAGAGGCCAAATAAATAACAGAATTGTTTATGAAAAAACAGGCATTATTTTTTTTTTCGTTGGTTAATTAGTTATAAATAAACAATTTTTTTTTTATAAAACTTGGAAAACAAAATTAAAAATTTAGGCAGCGTGTACACATTTTGATTCAAAATGTTTTTAAAACTAGAACAGCATTAGGTATATCCTTGATAATTATTACACTAAAAGTTGATTTCTTCAAAATTTTTAAATAGTGAATCAATAATTTTAAAAATGAAGAAATCAACTGTTACCACAGAAATGCTAGGAATTAAATATTCATTTTAATCTTGCCTAACTTTACTAAAGCCTCGAGATATAAAGATCAACACTTGGTGGAATAAATTTTAATTTTATAAAAACCAAAAATAGCCTCACCATAACCATCTACAAGTGTTTAAGCCCCAATTAAAAATTGAAATTTAATCAAACATTTGCACCCTTAACCTTCCAAAGTAACTTAGCAAACCCTGCAAACGTTTTTTGACTCGTTTCTGATCGTCCAAAGTGCAACCTAACAGAGCAGATTCAAACTTTTTGTCCATCACTCCATCTACCATTATAGAAGAACAAGCGTTGACATAAGAAATACATCTAAAATATAACATTTGATATAAAATTTGCAGTGATAAATCTGAAATTCTCACCTTTGCTTGGCAGCTTCATGGTCGTTTCTCAAATCCATAACCAATCCATCGATGAGGTGATTTATTTGAGACAATGCCTCTTCTTGCATTTGGTCTCTTTGAGTCAAAACACGTACTTCAACGGTTTGACATCTATTCATTATTCTATCAGCGTAGCGTGATACGTCATCAACATCATCTAATAAAATAATATGCCCGTTTATTATATTATTTATAAAAGTAATAGGAAATTATTACTTTCATCTAATTGGTTCAATAAATCAGCATGCCTTACAGTATCCAACGTTGCCAATAGTTGGTCTCGATCTTCTTCTAATTGAGCAGCATCCTTTCTAAGGGTTTCAACGTGACCCTCAAGCAAATCCAACAGCTCCACAACTCTTTCTTTTGGATGTTTGTTGTCCATACTGTTGTTTTCGTCAATTTTTGGTAAAGTTTGCAGTACCACTGATGTAGTGAGAACTACAAAAATATGAAGCTCAATGAGATGCAATCATTTTATTGGAAATGAGTTCAAATGAAAAAAAAAAAAAAAATACAAATGTTATTAATGTCGGCAATGAAGTGAATATTTGTTGTTGGAGATAGTGATCACTTACCAAGGTAAGGTTAGTTGGTCAGTTGTTTAGTGACCTAAAGACAGTTTACAGCATTAACTTTTGTTATTGATAGGTTTTAAAAGCATGCACTGATTAGTAGTTATTGGGAAGGTAAACACATTCTAATGGGTTTTTGAGCAACAAAATAAATGTTAATAGACTATGAAGAAAAACAGACTAGTGAACACCGAGCTCTGTTAGGGTATTTTTGAAATTTGAATACAGATTATCTAGCAAGAACTAGTTACCCTGACAGAATTACTTCGAATAAATCAAATGGATGAAATTAAAAGGCAAAATACTACTAACTACTTCATGAGAGAATTTAAATTGGTAAATGTTCGTCAGAGGAGAATGCAGCAAATAATTCCACTAAGAGGTTTACTTTTTGCTATGGTAACTTGCAAGATGAAAGTCATTTTGAACAAAAAAGTTGCATTTTGTAACGCCGTGTTTCACAGTCCTGTTGCATATTGTGATGTAGGTAGGGAAATTTATTGGTAAGCTTGAAAATTCTTGGCTCTGTGGGCATTTTGCTCTCAGAAGATTCAAGGATTTATATACACATCGTTATTATTCTCAGTAAATACTATCAATACGGCTTGAAATATAAAAAAATAAAGAAGTGATACATGCATTGAAGAACTAAAATGGTATGATAAAAATAGTACATATTAGTTGGAGGACATATTACTATATAATTTAAATGTTAAACAATGCTATAACTGCTGGAAATATGGTCAAATCACATTGCAAATGATTAAAAAAATCGCCTACTGGCCAAAAGTGTTTAGGCCAACATAAGCAAAATGAGTGCCGAACAAATGAAAAATGAGAAGGGAACTGTAGTATTAGAGATGGGCAAGGCAAACCATTTGCTTGATGTTTCATTCGCAAGATAATACTGAAATAAATAAGATAAAAGCTTAAGGCTAAAGCATTAGTACCAAAAATTCAAATGTGTTCAATTTTTTAGGAACACCGAATATTACGCACAATTACGTAATATTCGTCACAAAAATATAAATTACTGAAATTTTCCAACACTATGTAGGATGTTTTGGAAATCCCGAGTCTAGACTCTGAACACAAGGCATATGGGAAAATACCTTTCAGACATTTATTTTCAACTGAAATTCTGAAAAGATTTTTTGGAAGAAGGAATAATGATTGGCGTGGTTTTCTTAGACTTCAGAAGAGCATAGAAACAATAAATAGAACTCTATTGATGCTTAAAATGGAGAAATATGGTTTTGGACACAACATATCAAAATGGTTTAGGGATTAGGTATCTCAGCAAAAGATCACAAGTGACAAAGTGCAGTTAAATATCAACAGCGAGAGAATCAATACCTACATGGAACTGTAATGGGTCCTACCCTATTTATTTTTTACATAAATGACATCGTGAAGGTGGTTAAAAATTGTGGAAACCAATTGTTCGCGGAAGATACTTTATTATATCGATACCAATATTCTAATAGGACGTAACCCCTAAATCCAAAGTTTGTCAGGAGGTGTATATACTATAATATTTTCAGTTGAATGTTTCATACGATATACTAGAATTAAAGACCCATTGAACTCATATTCATTGAAAAGGCTAAATCCCAAAAGTTGTGGGATGTGGGTCAAGACTAATTTATCAATCAATTGAAATTTTACTAAAGCTAGTTTATAATTGAAAACAAATTTTCATATAATAGTTTAAAATCTACAGTCAATAGTCTCTAACACAATGATAAAAAATGACTACACTGATACAATACAAGTTACACATACTACTTATAAGTTAACATCACTTAACATAATATAATCTTAAATTATTTTTTTAAAAGAATTCACTGTTTTCGTAGACTTAACATTAGTTGGCAGATCATTATACCTACTCAAGCCCTTAAAATATAATGAGTTTTGCGACCTTTCCTGATCTACCCGTATATAAAAAAATTCTCTGTGGCGCGTATGATATTGATGAACTTTAGAAGCATATGTAGTTTTGCTTAACAAATATTGCGGAGCTTGACTAATTTTTATTTTATGAATTAATGTTAGTATGTTGAACAACAGGAGAAGCTCCCGCACTGGCATCCATTGAAGTTCTTTTAACATATCATTTATTGGTGTTAACCTTGGTTTTTTGAGTATCACCCTCATACTTCTGTTTTGCAACTTCTGTACACTGTATAAGTGGAAGTAATAATACATTAATATAGTTTTTTTAGTCCAAGTAGACAAATAGGGAGAGCAGCGAGATAAATGATTTATATTAAAAGCGATTTTTTTTTATTATTTCTAATGCATAAAATCTAGTTTACGGTCAATCCAAATTCCCAAGTATTGAATTTTTGTTACCATTTCAATGGTGTCGCTGCCCAACAATAACTTGAAGTCCATAGATAATAGCTGTTTTAAATGGATTCCCTTGCAATAATCATTAATTTGTTTTAGAAATATTGGCCTTCAAATCATTAACATTGCGTATGGGTGAGAACATTAATCAAATACCAGAAAAATTGAATTGAATTGCATTATCTCAACTACCTCTCTAATTGGTTAAATGATAATTCTCTACAATTGAATATAAATAGGTAAAACAAAAACAATGATAATAAGAAATAGGACACGTAGCTATAATTTAAATTTGGTAAACTTCAATGTGGAAATAAATGATGAGAAAATCGAAAGAGTGAATGAGTTTAAATATTCAAGATGTATAATAGATAAATATTTAACGTTTTTCAGTCATTTCAAATATATCACTAGTAAAATGGTAAGAAAAATAACCCCTTTCGGCTTAACTAACTAGGTACTTTTTGTTTCACGAATCAGTTTGTTTAAGTAAAATTTTATTTGTCAGGAAAATAAGGCAAATGATGTCAAAAGTACAAAAGTCGCGGCCATTGGAATGGACCTTTCTCATTTTACCTGCGCTGCGCGCGCATCTTGTGGGTGACAGATAATTAAATCGTCAATTTACTGAACACGGTCTGACCCTGACGTATTTAAGCTAACCTCAATAATCAATTAGTATCAATCAATATTGCTGAAAATTATTACAAAAACTGTTTATGATACAATGGTTCAAATGAGTTGAATGAGTTCTTGTCAGAATTAGGCGAAAAAGAAGTCAAACCTTTCTTTTCACAAGTTCCCAAGCAATCAAATTGTAAGAAAACAATAGTTACGTGCTCTCAACCCGAATGAAGACGATTTAAGTTGGGACAGAGATTTGCGGGTTCGTAAAATAACGATTTTTAAATCAAATACAATAATAATGTACAATTAAAGGTTTGCTGCAAACATTTTTGCTGCGGTGGGTTTTCTTTCTAATTAATGTTAATACGTATTTTGTCATATTTACGTTTAAAAATAAACAATAACAGAAACATAACCGAAATTGCACAATTTGACAAGTAGAACCAATCAAAGTCATTCCACACAGGTATCCTGCGTCATTATATGTGTCTTTTTCTTTATTGCAGAAATCTTAATAAACTATCCTTGTTGTTCATTGCATGAGAAAGGTCCCACACACTTCAAAAACGCACCTCGTATTGCATCAAAATCTGACAAAAACTGTAACCAACAAAAGTTGTCAGTGGCGTGTGTAATGTTATGTCCACCAAGTTCAATTTTAGACCTCATAAAAAATAAAAAATCCTTTTCTATCTAGCCTAGTAAAAACTAACTCCTTACAGAAAATGTTAATATTTGGTAGTACCACCACTTTTATCATTTGCAATCTTGGTGGCATTGAGTTCGAAGCAGGTCTAGATTCTGTATTGTAAATTTTTTTCGTAAGGCTAGCCCTAATATTATTGATCTTAACATGATCTTAATACATGCTGGAACGTAAAATTATCTCCAAAGCGTTCATTAGCGGATGGCAGCATTGCATCTCCTAATTATGAATTTCTCGCGTCAGACGTCCATCAATAAGATAAATCTGCCCTGGACCTTTAGCACTTATACAGGTCCTTGCCTGGACAGAAAATCTTCCGCTAGACTGATTAAATTGGATGTAGTCCTCCTCATACCTGGGTTCATCGCGGCCTATAAACTTTTAATGTTGAGTTACTATTGCATGACTGAAAAACTTATTGCTCCAGAAATTTTCAGATTCTTGAGAAAATAACTGGGCAAGCTGTAATCGGCACTGTCTATTTCTTTGCACTGAAAATGGTTTACGTGCCGCTGAAAGACATTTGGTACCAGTTTCCTTAATACAGCTTCGCGCAGTTTTAACTGAAGCTAGGAAACTAGTCAACTTTTTGGCTCTAATTTCCGAAATAAATGGATATGAAACGACCTCATCAAGAAGAGATTGGTCCTCTTGTCAAATTGTTTTTCTCGGTCGTCTTCCTCGTTGTAGATTCGTGATAGAAGCAGTTTCAACGGTTTCAACCCATTTTTTCTTCAAATTCATAATTAAACTACTTCCACAACCAAGGGTGAAGGCGACTGCACATATAGTTTTCCCTTGTGAAATCATTAGAATTGCTTTCGCTTTTTTATCGTTGGTTAAAATATGGTACTTTTTTTTTCAATCTTATTTAAAAACTTAATAAAACTGTTCTAGTTCGCCACTGACTTATCACTTTGACACAATTTTGGCATTTCCGGCTTGTTTAAAAAATCAGATTTTGATGCAATACGAGGTGCGTTTTTAGAGTGTGTGCCAATTCCAATGGCCGCGACTGTACATATACCTTTTTCACTTATTATTGGCGAACTGGTGTGCCATGGAAATTTGGCAGGTTGACCCTCGTATAATAATGACAGTATATGTCAAATTCCAGACAGTTTTAAGTGTGGTTTACATAATTTCGTAAGTGCCGCGGTATTAAAATTTTCTGGCCT